ACCTATCTAGCTTAAAGTTAAGTCTAGAAGCAAACAAGTCTATTGTAGGTGAAACATTTAGATACTTTAAGATATTATTAAACACATCCTTATTCAGAAACCATTCAGTTCAGTCTGAAGTTAAATCTGTCGAGCCTGCATCAGCTACATAGTTCATTTTTCCCGCTATGTGACAAATGGTAATCCAAATATTATGAGAATCACACCACTCCCAAATCTCCTTCGAAATGTGGTTGCAAGTTGAACATTTGATGCCACCCATGTTTTTAATATAGTTACCTGACTGAATATGCAAGTGACAGCTTTCGAAATCAAAAATCTTTGAAAATGATAACAGGGCCATCTGAATGGCTTTTGTTTCTAGGATATTAATGTGGAGAGTTTTCTCTGTTTCACTAATATTCTGAAGGCATGTTGCACCCCATCTAAAGAGGCTAGAATCTGTCTGCAAAGTAAACTTTGGAGAAGGCAAGATAATGGGTTTTTCTGAACCATGTAAATTGTCTTGCCACCAAGAGATTTCTTCTACAGCTGATCTACTTAATATCATTCTTGCATCAAAATTCCATGCATTTTGGTTCAGATAAGTGATGTTACACTTCTCCAATTCCCTATAATGAAGGGGTACGGCAGGCATGCAGGAATTAAAGAGTCCAATGAGCCTGGCAACATCGCGTATATAAGGCTTGCGAGCAGAAGTGACTTTGTAACTGAATTTGCTAATGCTTTTTGCTTTTTCATCAGGCAAACATATGATTATTCTGACTGAGTCAATAGTAAACCCGAGAAAATTCACCTTTTTTACAGGTGTCAACTGTGACTTATCCCAATTGATTGAAAATCCAAGTTGCATGAGTAAGCCAATCATATTATTCAAGGCGGCTGAAAGTGCGTCTTCACTATGAGCCTGGACATAGATGTCATCAATGTAGCTAACACATAAAATACCTTTACTTCTAAAATGAGCAAGCACAGGCTTCAAGATTTTGCTGAAGGTTCTTGGGGCACTACTGAGTCCAAAAGGCATACATGTGTATTGAAAAAGCTCATTCTTCCATTTGAACCTTAACATTTTCCTGGAATCGTCTGACTCATTGACGCTGTGAAACGCATTCTTCAAATCAATGGTAGCCATAAACATGTCCGGCTTAATAATATCGCAAACGGACTGAAGGCTTTCCATTTTAAAATGGTGGTATTCTACATCTTTATTAAATTCTTTCAGATTAAGAATGAGTCGATAGCCCCCGCTCTTTTTCTGCCTAATGAAAATATTTGATACAAATTGATTCTTATCAGCCTTAACTCTTTCAATAGCTCTGTAGTTAATTAACTCGACAATATTTTTTTCTATGATTTGAGATTCAGCTTCATTGAATTTTATAGGTAGAGGTTCAAATCTCTAAGATGGGATTTCAGAAAACTCAATATGGAGTCCCATAACTGTTTCCAAAATAAACTGATCTTGTGTCAGATGATTTCAAGTATGAAGGTTTTCCTGGAGGCTTCCAGCTTCAGAAATTTTCAGAAAGGAAGTAATGTTTGTACTGACCTACCCTC